AACAAAAAGTTGTATTTTTTTATATGAAACGGTAGTTGGCTGTATAAAGTGTTTGTTATCAAGACCAGAGTCTAAAGAAAACAATAATTTAGAAGAAACATGTTTAATAAAATATTAGAAAATAAAAAAAATCCATTACTATAATTAAAACAGTGTAAACCGAAGTTATTTTGATGTCGAAGGCCTCATATATTCTAACGAGTTAAGTTTTTCTTCTCACTTAAAATTTCCTCGTAGCATGCCAGTAACTTTTTTATTTCCCGTTTTGTAGTAGAAACGCACTCTGCATTGGAATATATTTTTTCTAAAATTTGTAGCCCCTTTTCAATTGTACTGAGGCCTTTTGTTAAGTTACAAATCGTCATTTGATTTTTCTATTCAACTGGGTCTAACGAATAAGTTTGTTCAATGTGTTGATCACGCATTTTTATAAGCTCGTAAATTGTTAGGTCTTGATTGTGTGAATCCAGCAATTCATGGACGTCATCATCATCCACCTCTAAATTTAATTGTTTGGCAATATCGACCACTTATCAATTATACCATCGATTTGTTCAGGATCTGAGGCTGATTCTCTTAAGGTTTATAATCCCCAAATTTAAGCTCTTAATCTCTTGTTAATTATTTTTTAAAATTCACCGAAATTAGTGGCTAAAACGTCTCGTTAAGTGCTTCTTTCTAGTGTAACGCGTCTGTAACTATCGTATCGTACACTCTGAGTCATCATTCGTTTCTTGCAATGATTTACACCAGTTTAAACCAGAAAATAGAACTTAACAAGGCGTTTTAGCCACTAATTTCGGCGAATTTTAAAAAATCATTAACAAGAGATTAAGAGCTTAAATTTGGGGATTATATTAAGAATACTGCTGTTGAGGAATGCATTTATTTTCATTATAATATTTCAAAATTTAAAGTCCTTTGATTTTTTTTCTCGGAAACTGGAAGGAATTAAAACTTTAAAATATATGTATATTCTAGATATTATTGCCTAATATATTTTGCCAAAATTTTAATTTTTTAAAAAAATTACTTTTTGAGATATCCTTGTCCGAAAATTATAAGGGGGTGCTGTAATCACCTTAAGCAAAAACTCATTATTTTCAAAATAATCTATAATACTCTGTTGTTTTCTAGTAGGCTTGTGTCATTCAGAATATTTCTGACAGAAGTATCGGCATTTTTGTAACACTGATCATTTAATAACGTTTGATTGTTTATGATATCTTAAAAGTGCAAAATGGCCTATGAAAATAGCGAAAAGTTTGACATGTTAAGAGTCTTTTATTCAAAGTAATAATTGTGAAGTTGCAAGTGAATTATATTTTAATCTTATATAAATAAAAATTTCCTTGGTTTATTCGGTCGTTTTTATTTTCCATTGTTTAGCACAGCACTTTTCTATCTTCGGGTGCAGTCAAAATTTAAAAAAGACATGGGGACGATTACAAACAAATTAATATTTTTTTAAAATAGCAGAAATCCCATCTTTCTGTTTCAGCGTGTGAAGGTGTATTCGAAATAATGATTTGGTTTAACACGATAAAGTAGGGAAACAAAAAGATGAGTTTTTACAAAGTTAAAAATTACCAGTGGCGTTAAGGATTAAAAAACTTACAATTATTTAATAATATTAAAATAAACGTTTGACAAATCTTTTATGTCAGTTTTATTATTTACAAAGTTGTTATTTTTTTTAATATTTATCATCTCAAGGATTGTTCTTTTGTTGAGATTTGGTTCATTTTCGAGAATTCTTACATTTTCAAAATCGAAAGAGCGCAAATTTTCTAACGCATGTTTAGTTAAGGCAGTGTAATTTTCATTATTAGTTGCGATCTTATTTTTATGGTTATTCTTCTTTTATGTAGATATTGTTTTGTTTGTCCAATGTAAGTGGAATTACAGTCTTTGCAGTCAATTTTATAGACAACGTTTGCTTGATTTATTTTACTAATTTTGGGTTTAAAATTTGAAAATAACGTTTTAGTTGCATTGTTAGGTTTATGAGCAATTTTTATACTATATTTTGAAAACATTTTAGACACTTGTTCAGAAAATCCTTTTACATATGGTAATGAAATATAAATAAGCGAGATAATGCCATATAATGAAAATTTGAAGAAACAAACTTTTGTTTTTAACTCGAAAGTAAAAAATAAAAGCCAATTTTTAAAAATGCCATTAAGTTCTTCTCAAAAAAAGAGATCGATTTTTCCATATCATTTATAGTTAACGAGATTATATATTAAAACATCGAAATTTCCCCACCCTGTACATTTTTATAAATATATTTTAGAGTAAGAGCAAAAAATTACTTCTAAAATTTCTACTCTATAATTTTTTAGTATTCATTTTTTTTATGTAAGCAAGTTAGCGCAAGTCGACTTATTTGTGACCCCAGAAATTGTGGTTAAATTTACTGAACATCTTTTTGTAAATGACAATAAAAATATGTTTATTTTTATTTACGTTTGATGATAACTATTGTATAACAGAATTTTTATAATGTATAGCGTATTTTGTAAATATTGTAAAAATATTCCAAGTAACAAAAACAGAGTATTTCTTAATATATTCAACGACAAATTCGTGAGTTTCTTTTTATTGAATTTATTTATTTTGAACGGGAAATTCACCTTATTTCTGAAAAAATAAATGTTCAAAAAGTAATTTTTACAAACAAAAAATATGGTAGGCGTCCGCACAGTCCTAAAACGCCTATTTATTGATATACAGGGTGTCCCGTAAATATATCGACAAACCTTTAGGTGTGGTAGGGGACATCAAAATAAACATTTTTGCTTAATAAACGTATGTACGAAAACTGTTTGTTTTCGAGATACATAGTGTTAAGTTAAAAAAAAATCGATTTTTAATCAATATCTTGAAAACGTTTTAACCCGTTTCATTGAAAATTTTTACAGTTTGTTGAAATCTTGATGAGGTACGTTTTGGATCTATTGGCGTTAATGCAAAATTTTCATAATCGTGCCCACAGGACAAGTCTATTATTCGCTGAAAAAGAATAATATGTATATTTTTAAATTTTCTGTTTTTGATAAAGTAACTAAAAATATTTTTTTCTACTATCATGCGTAAAGTACATACTTTACGCACGCCGGAGAGCGTAAAGTTGTATTTTTTTCACTAGTACGTAAAGTAAAACTCCTTACGCACTGGTGACAGAAAGTAAAATTGAACAAAAATTGAACATAAGAACAAAATATAACCTTTTATTTTATATTACCATTTTTATGCTATCTCCTTCTAAGACAAAATAAGTAAATTATTTTTGTTTATATCTATTTAGTGTCCAACCAATTATCAACAATTTTTTATTTTAATTATAATGTTCTCTAAATGTTATCGATTTAATTAAAAGTAAACAAACTGAGGATGTCGATTTTGGTAAAAGTAAGTAGGCGGTGGCTGTGTGGATTAGAAGAACTGTCAATCTCCAAACTTTTATTAGTATATCATCACAGAACACGACAAAAATATAAGTTTAAGATTAATTTCTAAAGCCAATTGACTATTTTTTAAAACCGAATCAATTTTGAGAAGGTAAAAAGTTTTTCTTATTAATGAAACTTTTTTGCAGTTTATATCTATCATAATCGATATGGATTCAAATTTATCTAGCGAATTTGATAATACACCTCCAGATATCTGATACAGTGCCACAAAAGACCACTGAAAATTTATTGCCAGAAAAATCTGCATATATTTATGAGCAAAAATACAATGCATTTATAGAATGGTGTAGGAAGAATAAGGTGACAAAATATTAGTCCAAAAAATTTTTTGTTGCTGTGTACAATTTTTGCCACATTTTTCTATACTTTACGCACTAGTGAAATAAAAAAGTAATATTCACTTTCGTCAAAGAAGAGTAACTTTACACACTTGTTGCAGAAATAACTATTTTGTCCTTTTTTTTTTTCGTTTCTTTTTTTGCATAATTAATGCTATATATGTTTTATTTTTATGTAGGTACTAATGAATAAATTAATCTAATTCAAATATGTCATTTATTATTTAAATGTCGTCCCAGGTTGAAGGCAATAAATATTATCCCTTTTGGTACGTATTTGGTTAATAACTGATTGTTAAACCGCAGGGCAATTAGGCGTACAAACGGAAATTTAGAGAAATTTACGAGACATTTGAGATAATTTGCGAGTAATTGTTAGGAATTAAGAAAGAAAAGGGAAATTTAACGAATTTTAGGGGAATTGCAGAAATTAGAACGTCATTGAAATTCAGTGATGTGAGGACTACTTTCTTCAACAAAATTCGAGATATAGCTTTAACGCTGTTTTTAATAGCGACACTTCGATTTATTTATTTTTTGTGGGTATTTGTAGTTGGGTACAGGAGAATGGGGCTAACAATATATACTATGTCCCGGTAATGGAAGCGGTCATGTGACGTGTAAAATTGAAAGTAAAGTTGCTCATTGATTTATTTTTTTCTTTTTGCTGGCAACTAAGTATATGCTTTATGACTTCAATAAAAATTAAAAAAAATATAATTTTCTGTCGTTTGATTAAGTGTAGGGATTCCGACCACGTGACTGACCGAAAAGTAACCTGTTTTGTAAAATAAGTATAAAATAGGAACCAAAAGTCTCAAAATTTTATGTATGTTGTCACCCGCCATTCCCCTGTACTCAACTACAAAATAAATAGCAAAAAAGCGACATGCTACTTTTTGCAGTAAGCTGAAGGACTATAATAGTCTTTGGCAATAGAAATTCCAGTATTTCTTTCCTGTATAGTACGAGTACGTTTAATTTCGCGTATCGAAATTCTATTTTTATAAAGATAGTTTTCAATATTATAAACGAAGAGTGTTCTTTTTTGTCAAATTGGGAACGAAACACTAAAAACGAGATATTAAAAATAATTGCAAAATGTCTAAAATTATGAATACCTAATTCTCTTATTCCTCACGGAATAAAAATAAATGATTTATTTTTTTATTTTAATTTCTAGGTTTATATAAATCTGCCTGAATCCACAACACCTCCACAACCTCATCCAGATATTTGGGACCTATCCACCAAAAGTCTAAAAAGAAAAAGCCCCTCTCCAGTGCCAGTGGTCTCGCCAAAATCCATCAAATTATTCAAACCATATCTCGATGACATCAACCAGCCTGAAGAAGTAAAAGAAGAACCACCATGTTGTTCGGCAGCTCTTTCATCGCCTTCTGAATCTTCTTATTACAGCAATGTTTGCGATATAAAATCAGAATACTGCAACACATACACTCTGCACGAATTACAACCAAATTATTACTACTACCCTTCATATGCAGCTAGTGCAGAATATGAATGCAACGGTTACTGTTACGAAGATATCAGCTACCGACAAAGTACGGTACCTTTAAAACATAGACAGAGTTATAGTTTGGACTTCAAATTAAGTGCCATAGATTGTTATTATCAAGATTCTGTCTGTAAAGGCAACCAAAGGGCGGTTGCCACTAAGTACAACATACACAGGAGGCAGATTCAGAAATGGCTGAAACAAGCTGAAGAATTGAGACTGAAAAACGAATCTATGAAACAGATCCATGCTGCGGGATAGATTGATAAATTTACGGTTCATTCCACATTAAATCAACCAATGCAATTTTTAAAACAATTGTTTTTTTTTAATATCTGTTTTTATAAATGGAAAATATACAGTTTTTTATGGCCAAAAATGAATTTAAGAATGTTCTGCACATTCAAGATGTTTATAGTAATATTATCTTTTATTTAGTAAATAAAATTGTGGTTAACATTTTTCAAAAAATACAGCAGTTTTCTAGCTTTTATAATTTGGATTTGGGAAATTCAAAAAAAATTCTGGTGACTACTTAGTCGTTATTTTTGTTTTTTGTTTTCGCAACGAATGTTTTTAGAGAAAATTTTCAAAATTTTATCCGAAAAAAATATTTTCCAATGCAGAACATTAAAAATATAGAAATTTTATATGGTTGATTTTACATGGAACTGTCATGTTATAACTGATTGTAATCAGTGAAAAAAGCCAAGAGTCTATTAGGTTTTAAGAAATGACATATCCGACTTGTTTATTTGCCTTACACATAAAATGGGTGCTAATTTAAGAATTATTGCTCAGCATATGACAATGTGCCTTGTTAGATTGTAGGAGATAATGTGCCAAAAAATTAACGGGAGGCAGCTGTTTGTATACCTGAAATTATGCAATATGTATTCTATTTTTGAAATTCTCTTTGTCTTCCTTAAATTGCCATTTTACGTTTATGTTTGGAGTGTTACTTCCAAATATTCTCTTAATTTATTATTTATTTTATTCTTGTAAGTATATTTTTTCCGTAGTAAGTAATAATAGATTTGATTAAAACAAGTTTGATTTCTATATTTCACTACGAATTATGCAATTGTTTATGTGATTTTTTAGGTATATGATAATCTTAATTGAACTTTGTAGATACTGATTTTATTATTCACTAATACATATATTGTGACCTTACCTTACAAATAGGTTGTGAAAATATCATCTGATAAAAGTCGTTTTTTATCTTATTGTACATTTTCAGCTGGGTTGACCCCATGAAACTTTTTATAGATATTGTATTATTTTATATGAGATATTTTATAAATGATATTAATAAAAAATGTACATATATATATCAATAAGTGTTTTATTACGATATTCAATGGCAGCTTATTCTGATCAAATCACGCTCAAATTTACAGAGAGGTTATATCGCTGTTCCAGAAGAACAATGACGTAACTGGTAAAATGATAATGTTAAAATTTACGCCATACCCCGACATCACTTTCTTTTGTAAATGCGTCATTGTTCTGCTAAAATTATGAATCAAAGTAACAAATTCGGACAAAAATTAAACAAAAAAAAATTGTTCCAGACAATTGCCTTCTAAGGGAGGTAACAATGTAAAAAACTAAGCTAATCTAGATTGTAGATTAATTTATACGAAACTAATTAAAATACACTTACGTCGTTGTCGTACTGGAATTACAGTTAAAGTAGTTCAAATTACGCCAAATTTCACAATTGCGTCGTTGTTCTATCGGACACTTAACACAGACTCGATAACATCAGACAAAACTAAATCATGCGGCAATGTTCTTCTGAAATTATGTCACAAACAGTTGATATTTCGACAACGACGCAACTTGCTCTAGCGGCCATTAAAGCAAGTACAGTTACGTCGTTCTCCCATATGTGTTACGTATTTTTGAGAACAGTGTAGTACTTAGCTACAATTACCCTAATTTTGCAGTTACGTCATTGTTCTTCTGGAACAGCGATATAGTATTTAACTGTTATCTCTGGTCTTTATGTATTCATAATAGTGCATCTACACGTCTACGAAATTACGAAGGTGAGGTGAAAAGTAATATACGCATCTTGTAGAACGAAAAGAGCGAGGTGGGGAAAATAGTATATTACATTAAGAGTATGAAAAACTTATGTGATGTACAATATTTTTCCTACGACCACAAAATTATTTCATTAAAAAAAAATGCAAAATCAGACAATTGGCGGTGGAGTTTCAATCAAGATTTGGCTAACTCTAGGTTTGTTCTTTATGTATACATCATTGATTTTGAATAATTTTCGAAGGGTTTTGTGGATAGTTAACAAGTGCTTTTTGAGTCAAACTTTTTTCTCCGCCTCCGAAAAATATGAATGACGTGTCATTCGATTCGGAAGAGCGCGTAGATGATTTTTGAAAAATTCAAGAGTCGCTTGGAAAAATTGCAAAAGTTATTAACAATTATTAAAAAAAAAAAAATTGGATTTGGTTTTTTGAAAATATCTCAAAAACTATTTGATACTTTCCAAATTTGAAGAAAGATTCAAAAAGAGGAAGTAATTTCCCAAAAAAAAGTTTAATCACCCAAAATTTATAATTTTCCCAGAGGGTTGAAAATACGGTCGAAAACGGAGACTGGTTTGCGTAAGCTTCGCCCACTGTGGACCTATAATGAATAAATATTATTTAAACTTATTAAATATGAAAATTACAAATTGAAAAAATTCAAGCATCTACTGGATAGACGAATGAACAATAATCCGCGGTTAAAAAAATTTTATCCCGATTTTTCTATTAATTATGCATTAGTTAATTAATAATTTTTTCCTACTTGAACATTAACATTGCAAGTGCGATAATTGTTAAATAACAAATCTGAGATTTTTTCTTTTTTGGAGCAATTTTTGAACAGTCTCATAAGAGATTCCCGTTGGAAAAATTAAAAAAAATATATTTTTCACTTTGTTATTAACAATTTACTTAGGTTAAAAACTAAAAAGCTTGATTAATCATTGAAAAAAAAATTATTTTTTTGTTATACTATTGATCTGTTTTTTAATCATCAGAAGCTACATGAAAATGATTTTAAAAAAAATTATTTCCTTTTGTTTAAAAAATTGTTACAAACAAATGCGTTGTTTACAAGATAATTTAATTTTTTTTTTGAAACGTAATCTTTAATGTAAATTATGATTTTTTTTTTTTTAAATCTGTCTTAAATTTTTTTTTATTGCTTAAAAACGGATTTGTTAGTTAACAATTTTTTTTACCACTTGTAATTATTATTAAGGAACCATTTTTTTAAATACTACTTTATCTTGCTCTTTGATAACTAAATTTTTTTTAAATTTTCATTGTTTATTTAATAAACAATTTGTTATAAACAATTACATTTTGGGCTTAATTTGTTCTTTATTTATAAAGAATAAATAAATCTTTAGTTTTTTCATCGTATCTTAATTAGTCTATAAGTTATATTAATTTAAAAGACGAAAAACCAGGTGAGAATAGTATAGTTACAGTAAGGTAATTATAAAACTTGATAAAAAATATAAATATTTTTTTTTTCTCCAAAAATAATACATGGTTGATTTTGTTTTATCATGTAGAAAAATAAAATAATATATCAAAAAAAATTTAATTGTTTATATAGAGGGTGGCTCACGCTCAACGGGACGGAGCTTTATGGGAAAACGACCAAAGATATAAAAAATTCGTTTGGGAGGAATACGTAGGTTACAGACGGCTACAATTTAAAATTTGTTAGATGTATACAGGATGTCCCACATAAGAAAAAAAATTAGTTCATTAAAAATTATTCACACAAGAGTAAACAATTAATTTCTGGGAGACTTTTTTTCCTTAAAAATTCAAATAAATCGAAAACTAATAGTAATAGGGAACCTTTAGTTAACTGACATTATTTTGGATGTAGTTTTTAATTCTAAAATAAAAAACAGGGTGTTCCATTAAAAATAATATAACTTTGTATATTTTCTCTTATGTGGGACATCCTGTATACATCTAACAAATTTTAAATTGTAGCCGTCTGTAACCTACGTATTCCTCCCAAACGAATTTTTTATATCTTTGGTCGTTTTCCCATAAAGCTCCGTCCCGTTGAGCGTGAGCCACCCTGTATATAGTTGGAACCATATGGAAAACATTTTTATTATTGATTTTGGGAAAAAAAGTTATTCTTGATAAAAAGTCCTGCATGACCCAAAACTTTAAATACAGTCATCAGATATCAAATTTTTCAAGCCGTATACGAGGTTTGTCAAAAAATGAATTTTGCTCAAGAGTAAAGTACGTTTATTTTTTTACAAAATCGAAAATTTTCATTAAGAAATTTGCTAAATTCTTCACAAACATCAACAAAAGGAAAGCGTATCATGTTTATAGTAGCTAACGTAATTTATAACGTTTTCAGATATTTACAATCAATGTGTAGAGTGTAGAGTTTATAAAAAATAAGAAAATCTGTTTTTTCAGATAGATCGGTGTAATTGCATATTTGAATGTAATATTCATTCTAATCAACTTTTCTTAATGAAAATTTTCGATTTTGTCAAAAATAAACGTACTTTACTCTTGAGCAAAATTCATATTTTTTGACAAACCTCGTATACGGCTTGAAAAATTTGATATGTGATGACTGTATTTTAGGTTTTGGGTCATGCAGGACTTTTTATCAAGAATAACTTTTTTTCCTAAAATCAATAATAAAAATGTTTTCCATATGGTTCCAACTTAAGTTATTATAGGCTTTTTCCGGTTATTTTGTACAACCTATTGCATTGCAGCACCTCTATAAATGTTTAGAGGATAAACTAAATATATACATTTTCCACATACATCTACCTCGAAACATTTTTCTATAGATATTCATTGAAAACGAAAATACTGAAAAATTTAAATTTAGCACTTTTCCTACAATTTTTTCCATTACGGTCCATTTTAGAATAAATCATGTATAAACAAAAATTATAGATATCGATATCGCAAACAACTTTTAGTTCAACAATTTTCATAAAAATCAGAATTTTGCACATTTTGTCAAATTTCTCGAATACGGACCATGTCAGGAAATTTTGACCTGAAACAAAAATTATAGATAATAATATTAGAAGTAACTTTTATTTAAACAATTTTCTTCTCCAAACATAAATAACCGATATATTCCATAAAATATAAAAACGGCCTCCCATAAAGTACCCCCCCCCCAGATTTTCCGACTATGTCCAAAATCTAATCATTTCACGTCAGGCCGAAATAAAACTTAAGTTTAAAATATAATGTTTTTTCTTTATCCGTTTTTGAGTTTTCTTCAAAGTTTACAAATTTTCTCAAATATCTCGAAAACAGTCCGTTTTAGAGAAATTATGTACTGAATAAAAATTATAGAGAATTATATTACAAACCACTTTTATTTAAAAATTTTTTATAAAAAATTATTTTTTTACATTTTGTCAAATTTCTCGAATACGGACCATTTTAGGAAAATTTTGTATAGAACAAAAATTATAGATAATAATATTAGAAGTAACTTTTATTTGAAGAATTTTCTTCTACAAACGTAAACAACCTATATTCCATAAAATATAAAAATGACCACCTATAAAGTACCCCCCCAGATGTTCCGACCCTGCCCAAAATCTAATCAGTTCATTGGACGCTGGAATAAAGCTTTAAGTTTAAAATTTGGTGTTTTTCTGTGTATCGGTTCATGAGTTATGGTGGATACAGACACACACACAGACATCATCGCAAAAATAGTCAAAACGGATTCAGGGGACCTCGAAACGTAAAAATCCGTTGAAAACTCGAGGTCGAAAAAAATCATGATTCCTATACTTTCCTTATATCTGTATACAGATAGGAAAGTAAAAAATAGTTCCTTAATAATAATTACAAGTGGTCAAAAAAAATAGTTAATTAACAAATCCGTTTTGGCATTAAAAAATTTTTTTAAACGAACGATTTTTTTTAAATCATAATTTGCATCAAAGATTACGTTTCAAAAAAAAATTTTAATTTTCTTCTAAACAACGCATTTGTTTATAACAATTTTTTAAACAACAGGAAATAAAAAATTTTAAAAATCATTTTCATGTGGCTTATGATGATAAAAAACCGGATCAATAGTAATATAATTTTTTTTTAATGATTAATCAAGCTTTTTAATTTTTAACCTAAGTAAATTGTTAATAACAAAGTAAAAAAATCTGATGTGTCCAACACATGACTTTCCTATCTAGTTATTATAGGTTTTTTCTGGTTATTTTGTACAACCTATTGCAGCACCTCCATAAATGTTTAGAGAATAAA